TCTGAGTCAAAATAGGTGGCACTTTTTTCAAATAGGAAATCAGTGCTGGCATTGGAAGGGACAGGGAAGAAATCCATGTACCTAGGAAGTAGCACAGAAGAGAGAAAAGCAGAAAAATATGCAGAGTGAAGTGGCCAGCAGTCTGCTGAGGGAAGCTGGAATGGGGTATTTTGGGGGAAGGGAACATTCCTCTGAGAAACATTCAAATGGGGCCCAATCTCACCAGTCAATACCCTTGTGGTAATTAGGGCCGTTGAAGAACTGAATCTCCTCAAATGTACTGGGGCTAGGGAAGCTGCTAGTTACAGCTGGGTGCAGGCTCAGGAAGAAGTGAATAGCCGTAGTCCCTAAATGGGAGAGAAAGGCCACTATGGGAAGGAAGCCAGCTCAACAGCATGAGCTTTAAGGAAGTGAAAAAATAACCACTCGGGGTAGGAAAATCCCCTTTGGCCAAACTACAATGATAGAGGAGGCCCAGGGAAAGGCTAAAAGAGTAATTCTCAGCTTTGACTGCACTAGAATGACTTGTGGATCTTGTAAAAACTCCGCAGATGATTCTGATACACAACCAGGGTTAAGAATCACCACCTCAAGAGACTGGATCAATGAGGGGTGGGTATAAAGGGAGTTCCTTTTTTTCTCTCTTAAAAATTCAAATTAGGCCATGGTGGCTTATATCTGTAATCCCAGCACTTTGGGAGGCGGATGCAGGTGGCTCATGTGAAGTCAGGAGTTCAAGACCAGCCTGGCCAACATGGTGAAACCCCGTCTCTACTAAAAATACAAAAATTAGCCAGGCATAGTGGCACATGCCTGTAATCCCAGTTACTAGGGAGGCTGAGGCAGGAGAATTGCTTGAACCCTGGAGGTGGAGGTTCCAGTGAGCTGAGATGGTGCTGTTGCACTCCAGCCTGGGCGAAGAAGCAAGATTCCGTCTCAAAGAAAAAAAAAAATCAAATAAAAATACTTTTCTCATCCCTGTGATTACCTGGAGAGAGAAGAGAGTTCCTTGACAAAAGGATTCTTTAGGTTTATTAAGGCAAGGCAAGAGAAGTTAGCTAAGGATATTTCACCTGTTTTCTGGGGTCCCACAATGAGGAACTTTGGGAGCCGATCACAGGTTTTCTCCTTGGACCAGATATCTTTGTGCCTCTTGTCATCACAGGGATTCTGAAGGCAGGGCCAAGAATCAGTTAAGGTCTAGTCTTTTTTTTTTTTTTTTTTTTGAGATGGAGTGTCCCTCTGCTGCCCAGGATGGAGTGCAGTGGCGTGATCTCGGCTCACTGCAACCTGGGTTCAAGCGATTCTCCTGCCTCAGCCTCCCAAGTAGCTGGGACCACAGGCGCATGCCACCACGCCCAGCTGATTTTTTTGTATTTTTAGTAGAGATGGAGTTTTGCCGTGTTAGCCAGGACGGTCTTGATCTCCTGACCTCGTGATCTGCCCGCCTTGGCCTCCCAAAGTGCTGGAATTACAGGTTTGAGGCACTGTGCCCGGCTGGCCTAATCTTTTTTTTTTTGGGGGGGGGTGCCGCGACTTGGATGCCTAGTCTTGTCTTAAACCCCTACCCCAACTGGATGCGATGGCTCATGCCTGTAATCCCAGCACTTTGGGAGGCCAAGGTAGGCAGATCACCTGCCGTCAGGAATTTGAGACCAGTCTGGCCAACATGGCAAAACCCCATCTCTACTAAAAACAACAAGAAATTAGCCAGGTGTGGTGGCCCCCACGGGTGCCTGTAATCCTAGCTACTGGGGAAGCTGCGGCAGGAGAATCGCTTGTACCGGGGAGGTGGAGGTTGCAGTGAGTGGAGATTTTACCAGTGCACTCCAGCCTGGATGACACAGTGATCTGTCTCGAAAAAAACAACAAACAAGAAAACCCCACCCCAATAATGTCTCTCCTCAGCCTGAGCTCCACCTTTACCTGCCAAAGGGGGCTTCGCTCCTGAGGGAAAAGTTCAAAGTACTTCTGTGCAAGTGGGACAGGAGGAAGGGTCTGTAGGCGCAGCCGTGTCCAACACTGAAGGAAGCGCACCAAGCTCTCAAAGGTGTACAGGCCCAGCCGGTCATTTCCGTAATTGGACAAATGGGTCATAAAGATGCTGATCTGCAAGGGGGTGCCTGCATGTCAGATTTGGAGAGCCTATCCCACCTCTGAAATAGCCTTGGTGAGTAAAGGTCCCAGCCTGCAAACACCTTGGCTCTACAATCTACTGGCCCTTCCTCTTGGTACCTTACCGGATTAAGCAGCACTGTTAGAAAGAGCTCTCCACCTCGGATGCTTCGGTCTAGCTCACGAGAGCCTCCAGGATACTCATTATAGAAGATTGTGTGAGTGAAGAGGCCACATGTCTGCCGGGGCAGCACCTGGAAGGAAAAGAAGAAACATGAGATTTGAAAGATAGAATGAGAAGTAGATAAAGGACACTGGGATTTAGAAAGGACTCAGTCTGAAGTTATACCAATAAAGCTCTTACTAATGGTGTTAAATTTTTTCATCCTTCTACCCTGTCCTATGTACCCCCATACTTGGACTGGCAGAACATAGGTCAATGCATGTTGAAAGCTGTTTAAATGTGAGAGTTTTGACTCAAGTTTGTATTGAGAGTCCTCACCATAATGCCATTGTGAATGAAGCCACGGCGGTAGCGGGCAGGGCGGAGATGGGGATACTCCTCAGTGCTGGTCACTTGGATGCCCCACACGGATTTCCAGGCCTCATAGAGCTGCGTGTGGATGGGGTACACTCCCGAGTGGTGGGGGGCCACAGCATACCCAAGATCCGTGGGAATCCCATGCTCCTGGGAATGGCATAGATTCTCACCGACCTGGTGAGGTTTGGGGAGTGGCGGGTAAAGAGGGTGGGGAAGCCTCCACAGAAAGTAAAATGCAAAGGGTAGCCCATTAGGGGAAGGTTGAAAAGGAAGGATGGCTGGGAGAAAGTATGGGGAAGAGATCCAAGGGTCTCACCAGAGCAAACTGTTTGTTGAGCCTCATCTGGTCAGCCAGCACGGAGCGATTGTGGAACAGGTGTGGCTGCATGTGGCTCCACATGTGGGGGAACCACCAGAACTCTCTGCGGTGCTTCAGCAGCATGTCGTCCCCTGCATCCTCCTCCTCTGTCCCTATGACCACACGCTGACCACTGACCACAGCCAGTCAGCCCCTATTCCCGCCTTTGTTTTGTAACAACACTGACCAACTTCCATCCCTGGGACAACCCTACTGATCCTTGCCGAAGCCTTTCTGTTTGTCCCATTGCCAATTTGCCCTCCAGCCACCCATGTGAACCTAAATTCATGCCCACTGGCTCCTTACAGTAGTCTGACCCCAAACCTTGACCCTTTTCTCCAACTTGTCTATCCATGGAGGTAGACAGTAAAGGGATAGATCAAACTATGATATGCTGAAGGAGTAGGAGAATAAGCTCACCAGTATGATAGAACTTGCCCGAGAAGCCCAAGTTGAAGGTGAAGTTGGGGACTAAGGTCCTGAGTTTGTTCTGGGTGGTCAACAGAGCCTGGGAAGAGTAGAAGGGACATGAGAAATCAGGTGAGCAGACTGAACAGTTAATAACACGAGAAGTAGCATTCTTCCTGCTTGGAAAGGCAGAGAGTATACCTATGACAAGCTACATTAACAAGGAAGGGAGTCTGACAGGCCAGAGTGTGAATAGCTTCTAAGAAGAAATTTAAGTGACAAGACTGACCTCAACATCAGCCACCTTCATGCGGGTCCCTTCCTTGCCCACAAAGATGTCATCAATGTCTACCAAGATGTAGCGGTCAAGGTCCAGGCAGAGGCGCTTGCCAGTGAGGTATGCAACAGCATCGACGAAGATAAGTTTGTGGAGCCAGAAGGAAAGGCCGTGGCCAAAGAGCACCCGCTGGATGCCATCATGAAGCCCCAGGTCCTGTACCACAGTGGGAAGCCGGGCCCGATGGGGAACCGGTCCTGGCACCAGGGGCTCAGCTGGCCGAAGGCTGGCAAGAAGCACTGGTTCATATGTACTATGATTGGATTGGAAGATGGTCCAGTCATCACCAGGCAGTGGGCCTGGTTCTAGGCGGCTGGGGCGTGTGAGATGCAGTAGGGGGGCAGAAGGATTCACTTGGTAGTCCCGGAGCCCCAAGTTTGAGTGTAAAAAAAGGGGAAAGCCCTTGAGCTGGGCACTCAGTAGGCTGTGTTCGTGGGCTCGGAAAAAGCCAATGATGCCCACACCATACTCCACACAGTACCGGTCTAACAGTTCCCGACTCCAGGCATCCAGGTTGACATACTTGAGCAGGTTCTCATAAATGACCAAGACATAGCGACCATGGGTATTATCAGTCAATGTGGGCATGTCCCCTCGGCCAGGTGCCAGCTCAGTGCTATACTGAAAACGACTAGACTCCAGGATGGCCACAATTTCCTGCCCCAGCTGTGAGTATGCACTTTCCACAAACACAAGGACCACGGGTTCAGTTCGAGCTGTCTCTGGAGGCCTGGGTGGCCGAGGTGGAACTGGAGGCCGTGCAGGGCCAGAACCAGCTGCCCCACTGCTGCTGCAGTCTCCCAAAGGCAGGGGCAAGGGTTCCTTGGCCTTAGGGCTGGTGGACACATAGTAAGCCAGGAAGACCATGGAGCCCAGGCTGAAAGCGATCAGCAGCAGTATGAGGCGGTGCAGTTCCAGCTGCCGAGCTGGGCGTACTACCTTCCACAACTGGAGCATGGCGGGGGGGAGGAAAAGAGGGGGGAATGGGGACCCCCTTAGGGGATGGGAGGTAGGAGTTCTATAGGCTAGGACTGTCTTGGAAGGGTAGAAGGATAGGAAAATAGGGGAAAGAGATTCCCTTAGGGGCCGTTGCCTTAAGAGGTGGCAACGAGTCACCTTAGTATAGGGTAAAGGAGGTAGAGGGGGAAGCAGGGGGCCACTATACAGAGACCACTCGTCTCAGGTCACCATGGCCCCCTGGCCCATGGCTTCAGGCTACAAATCTTGCCAGGCTCTCCCCTTGGCCCTGGCTGAGTGCCTCACATCAAAGGTCAGAAAAGTTCAACCTCTGGCCCGCCTACCTGTAAGAGAGAAATTAGTGGGTTACTCCTCTCTGTGAAACTGTCATTAATCCATTCTCCCCATCCCATCTCTCTTACCTCCTGCTTACTGGCTAATCTGTTCTAAAAAAAAAACAAAACTCTTGTAGGAGAACACAAGCTGAGTCCTATACCTTAGCTTCACAGCTTGTTCCCTTTCCCTTTCTTAGATACCCAAATGAATGTACAAATTCTCTTCGCTAAGCAAAGCTCAGAGATGGAGCAGTACATGCAAATGCTGGAAGGGAACAAATTTCCCATCAACAAGAGGCTAAACATCCTAGAAGGCTAAAAACAGGCCTGCTCTGAAAGGAGTTCCTAGCCCGTGACTGAGCAGTTGGCCAGCGAGCAACAGCTCTGATCTTTCCGTGAGGAAGCCCCTTTTGGGGGCCTTTTTTCAGAAAGCCCCAGAAGTCCCCAGAAGTCCCACGCTCAAACGAAATATCAGATAAGAAGGAACTCATGAGTCCGTTAATCTTCCTCATCGATCAAACCCAACATCACAGCCAACAGCATTAACGAACTTGTAGTCAGGTGGACACTATGGTGGGGGAGTTCAAAAGGAAAGAGTGATCCTCATGATAGCTAATCATTCTAGCAGTTTCCAAACCCAGAACTTAGGGACTCTCTTACCCGTTGCTTGTGAAACATTACCTGCCCCTGACCTTCACGTCAACTATGCTGGTCAGGAGAGGAGATAAAAATGTAACCCCAGAGCAGGCCACACACTGGGCGCTGAGAAAAGCCAGACTGCTGAGTCCACTCTAGTTCTCCTTCCTAACTTAGCCAAAGTGGTTCTACAACCCTATTCTTTTTTTTTTTTTTTTGAGACAGAGTTTCGCTCCTTACCCAGGCTGGAGTGCAATGGCGCTATCTCAGCTCACCGCAACCTCCGCCTCCTGGGTTCAAGCAATTCTCCTGCTTCAGCCTCCCGAGTAGCTGGGATTACACGTGTGCACTACCGTGCTCGGCTAATTTTTTTTTATGTTTAGTAGAGACGGGGTTTCACCTTGTTGACCAGGATGGTCTCGATCTCTTGACCTTGTGATCCACCCGCCTCGGCCTCCCAAAGTGCTGGGATTATGGGCGTGAGCCACCGCGCCCGGCCTACAACCCTATTCTTGAACAGCTCAGAAGAATCCCTGAACTAGCCTGGAGAGACATGAGGTATTGAAGCCAGTTACACAATAGTACTTACTTGAGTAAGGACTGGATGAGAGAGAGCAATAAAAACTTAAGTCATATCCAGCCAATGACAGAAAGAAAGAGTCAGGACAGTGTGATCAAAAAACACAGTTTTAAGGAAGCCTAATTTTGGGGACCTCTTTTGTTTTATTTATAATTTTTGAGATGGAGTCTTGCTCTGTTACTCAGAATAGGTGGTGTGATCATTGCCTACTGCAGCCTCGAACTCCTGGGCTCAAGTGATTCTCCCACCTCAGCCTCTCATGTAGGTGAGACTACAGCTGTGCACCACCACACCCTACTAATTTTTAATTTTTTTTAGAGATGGGGCCTTGCTATGTTGCCCAGGCTGTTGAACTCCTGGGCTCATGCAATCCTCCTGCCTCAGCCTCTTATGTTCTTTTTCTTAAATTGACTGCTTCTGTAAGTTTTATTGTCACTATCCTCACCTCAGTCTCCTCATAAGGCTGGCAATCTGTCTCTACCACCCACCCCAATATACACACATCTCAGGGGTGATAAGGCAGAGCTGGGGTCTTTCAGAATTGACAGAGATGATTTAAAAACAGTTTAGGTCAGGCATGGTGCCTCAGACCTATAATCCTAGTGCCATGGAAGGCCAAGGCAGACCGACCACCTGAGGTCATGAGTTTGAGACCAGCCTGGCAAACATGATGAAACCCCATCTCTACTGCAAATACAAAAATTAGCTGGGCATGGTGGTGGGCGCCTGTAGTCCCAGGTACTCGGGAGGCTGAAGCTGGAGAATCACCTGAACCCGGGAGGCGGACGTTGCAGTGAGCTGAGATCGCACCACTGCACTTCAGCCTGGGTGACAGAGTGAGAATCTGGCAAAAAAAAATAAATAAAAGCAGTTCAGCTTTGGCCTAGGTAAAACTAACGACATGAGAAGAGAGCTGGGGGAGAGGATCAAAATGGTGACGGGAAGGGGTGAATGCTAAGAATTTGATATAACTTTAAAGAAAACATCGTAGCGAGGAGGTGACTGACAGAAAGTCGGTACTCAGAGTATATCACCCCAAATTTGAGAACTTACAACTTGCCAGCCATTCTTCTGAGAGCTTTACATATATTTAGTCCTCACACCAGCCCTAAGAGGTAGGGAAGAGGTACATGCTCCATTATCCCCATTTCACATATGAGTAACTTGAAGCCCAGAGAAACTTAGGAACTTGCCCAGGATCACACAGCTCAGTCAGTGGGAGGGCTGGGATTCGCCGTCAGGCCTGTCAAGCTCCAGAGCCGCGTTCTTGGCCGCTGCATTTTAGTTTCATACCTGGAAGCAGCAACAAGGTTTAGGGAAGGGGCACCGTGGGCACCGCAGGCCGGGGCCAGTGAATACTGAGGGCCAGCAGGGCTGGGAGAGGTGGGTGTGTGCCGGGCGGGAGGTCTCAGAGGAGGGCGAAGCCGAGTGGGAGCCGGGCCTGGGCTAGGGGAGGCCGGGACGGCCAGAGTAGCGGCGCGAAGGCTGCGGGTGGGGGCGCCGAGGGGGCTGGGGGCTGGGGGCTGGGGGCTGGGGGCTGGGGGCTGGCGGGCGGGGAGGCCCTGCAGAGGGGAGACGCAGGCACAGGTGGATGCAAAGAGCGCCCCGGATGTGGGACACCAAAGGGGAAGGAGCCACGGGTGCGCGGAGGCGACTCCAGAGTGACATCCAGACAGGGTCTGGGATGGGAGAACCCTGCGGGGAGGAGGGAGCCCGCTCGGTCCTAAGGGGAGAGAGGCGGCTCTGAGGGAGGCCGGCGGAAGGAACCCGGGGCGCGGCGCGAGCTGGGGCCGCCCGGGACGACCCTGCGGGTGGTGATGGTGGCAACACTCGAGGGAGTCTGTGGGAGGGAGTCTGGGGGGGGGGGACTGAGCGCGACGGTGGGCGGGTGGGGGGTCTCCTCAAAGGCGGCTCACCCGGAGGACTGGGCGGCGTCCCCGCTGTCCCCGGGCTCCGCCGCGTCCCGGGGTTGCCCGGCTTCCCTGCTCTCGGGGCCACGGGCCGCGTCGCGGCTGCTCCGCCATCTCTGAGAGAACGCTCTGCCGCAGCCTGGCCCAACCACCGCTCCCACCGGGGGAGGCGGCGCGCCGCCGCTCGTGGCACCCACTCGGGTCCACCGGCTCGAGCCCGGGTAGCCGCGCGACCTCCGTGCCGGGACACCAACAGGCCCGCCACAGTGCCTGGCCGAGCTGCAGCCTCCGAGACGGCAGGCTCCGCGCTCCGCCCGCGGAAGCGCACCCCCGCCTCCCGGCACGATGGCACCGCCCGCCGAGCGTCGGGCAAAGCTGCTCCGGAACATGGGCGGGCTCAGGCCCGGGCTCATCCACTCAGCCCGCAGAGGGGGGAGCCGGGCCGGCCCACTCGGGGAGGGGAGGGAGCGGTCCAGCGAGGGGCGGGGTGAGGGGCGGGGCGATGCCCTTAGCCGGCCCCTAAGGCACCCACTCTCCCTCCCCGCCCCGCCTACGCAGCACCGAGCGCTGGTTGGAGGTTGAAGAGTTTGAGGGTTCTTTTTTTTTTTGAGTGGGAGTCTCACTATGTCGCCGGGGCTGGAGTGCAGTGCAGTGGCGCGATCTCGGCTCACTGCAACCTCCAACTTCCGGGTTCAAGCCATTCACCTGCCTCAGCCTCCTAAGTAGCTGGGATTACAGGCGCCCGCCACTACGCCCAGCTAATTTTTTGTATTTTTAATACGGACGGGGTTTCACCATGTTGGCCAGGCTGGTCTCCAACTCCTGACCTCCGTTATTCGCCCGCCTCGGCCTCCCAGGTGCTGGGATTAAAGGCGTGAGGAAGTTTTATTCTCAAAAGGACCCAAAGGGGGCAGGAGGTACCTCTCTCCAACCTGGTAACCCAGGCTGCTGAATTTTTTTTTTTTTTTTTTTTGAGATGGAGTCTTGACTGGTCGCCAGGCTGGAGTGCAGTGGGGCAATCTCGGCTCACTGCAACCTGCCCCTCCCGGGTTCAGGCAATTCTCCTGCCTCAGCCTTCCGAGTAGCTGGCATTACAGGCACACGCTAATTTTTGCCTAGCTAATTTTTGTATTTTTAGTAGAGATGGGGTTTCACCATGTTGGCCGGGATGGTCTCGATCTCTTGGTCTCTTGATCCCACCTTGGCCTCCCAAAGTGCTGGGATTACAAGCGTGAGCCACCTGCGCCGGACCCAGGCTAAAATCTACGCCTCTGGCTGTAAGCCTCCAACAGCAGTAACACAATGGACTGTTTAAAGGTTATTTTATTAAATATCTTCAGTTGAAGGTTTCATTGTAACAAAGCTATGAAGGGTCTACCAACATTCAGAACAAACACTATTTTTAAATTATTTCTATGTCATGCAAAAATTCTGCATCAAATGCCTTCCATTTCTTGTTTAAAAGGTGATTTTTTTTCATAGTCTATTGTCTATAGATGCTGACATTAGCCCCAGAAGAGGAGTAAGAATGCTAAGAAGTAGGGCTGGAGCAGCCACATGAAGCTATGGGTCTCAATAAATTCTAAGACCATATGTCTTCAAACCAGCAAAACAAAACCCTGTGGTGAAGGGATCTGCGTGCTGGCACTGCAGGCTGCAGGGCAGGAAAGGGCTAGGGCCCAGGGCCTGGGACATGCATGAGGTGCTCGGAGGAGCCTGGCTAAATCCAAGCACCAGCACCTGTGAGTCTGGTATCTTCTCAGCTGTCTCCCAAGTAAACCTGTAGCTTTGCCTCTTCTCCCAGCTCTTGTGCCTCCTGCAGGTAGTCCAGAGAGCTGGAATCTACCCACCTTTACCCCAAAAGTGCAGATGTTTGGGCAGATAAATCTGCAGCGTTGTTTTCAGGGAAACCAAGGCCATAACCAATTGCTCCTCCATTATCTTCTCTGCTATCTGCTTAGGGTATAGATCTCTTCCTCCAGGAATGGAACTCCTTGAGCACAGAGAGGGACAATGAAGGTAGAAGCCTTGGCTCTGGACACCTCTTTTGGGTTACATGCGGGGAGAGGTGATGCCCATGCAGTTTGTCCAGCAGTAAGTCTATACTTCAGTTGGTCAATCAAGAGGCCTCTGTAAGGACACCTCTTCTTCTTGCCAGAGCAGTCAGGTCAATCTCAAAGACAGGAAAAGAGATGGACGTGCAGCAAGGAAGAATAAGAAGGGAGGCAGCCCCAAAGGCAGCCTGAATGCATAGAAATGACCATCATCTCTTCTCCCACTGCCTCATTCCTCCCATTCCACAGTAGCGCTTGGCAGAGTGCCCAGGCCCAGATGAGGGTCAGCATGGGGACCACCACCATGAAAAGGCAAGACAAAGATGGTCCAGATCAGCACAGAAACAGAACCGCCAAAGGCGGCACGGGGAGCCCTGACCAGGGCCCGGCTCTCTCCTTGCTGAGTTAGAAGAAAACACGAAGCAAAGCAGCAGCAACCCCTCCCCCTCCTAGCTGCAGGCATAAGGCCTCAATATCAGGGCCCACATGCATTGTGCATCCTATAGAAATGGATGAGTGAGTGAGTGCATGTCAGACTAATACGAGGTTTCTCATCGGCTTCATGGCGGGCACACTTCTGCAGCACCAATTCTCTTCCTTTCTACACTAAATGAGACAGTACAGCAACGTCCGGGCCCTTAGTCCTGAGGCCACCACTTCTCAGCTGCCTCCACAGCAGGCTCGGAGCTCTGTGTTCTCTGCCAAGTAGGTCTGATGGTCACAATGTTCTCATCAGCCTCATTCTAGGCACCTATGCAAGTTCCAAAGAAGTCCATTCCTAGACCTGGGGTAAGCAGGCCACCTCAGGAGCTGCAATCACATCACAGCTCCCAAAGCTCTGTCAGAGTTCTTGCCTGGTCCCCTCGAGTCCATGGGGACCAGAGGCCAAGCTCACCTCTTCAAGGCCGGTGGGTGAGCCTGCTGCTCATGCCGGGATGGACCTCATACAAACTCCTGCCTTCTTGCCAACCCAAGGGCTGTTGGTGGTTTTAAAACGCATCATGGTACGGATTCCTTTTTTTTTTTTAAACAATCTTTTTTTCTTTTTTTTCCTTAAATGTAAAAAACACCTCGGTACAGCAGAGACAGACACGAAGGGCGGGCGGGAGGGCTGCATGCAGGGGCGTGCATTGGCTGCTGCCGCTTTTGTAATTGAATTGTTTTAAACCTCAAACAAACAGGACTGCCGCTGTCACTCAGGCCCTCCAGAGCCACTGGCTGCGAAGGTTCGACCTCTGGCTGGAATCTCCTAATGCCCCTGTCAAACAGGACAGAATGTGGTAACAGAACAGAGGACAATGAGTACACGGATGAGTTCCGGTGACTTCAGCACGCTATATACGTTGCCAAGTCTGCCTGAGAAGGTGGGGAAAGTGGGTGAAGCTAATGTTTAAATACAAAACTGCCTTCCATTTGCGAAGCACTTAACTAAGTGTTTTACTTACAGTATCTTACTTAATCCTCACAATGATTAAATGAGGTAGGCACCACTCTCTGCCTTTTTTTGACAGCTAAAGAAGCTCAGTTTAGGGAGGGGAAGTAACCTGTCTGAGGTCACCCAATTTGAAGTCATAGAGCCAGACCCCAGTCTGTCTGATTTCCAAGCATAACTTACTGAAACCATTCTGCCCAGGCTTTGCCAGTCCTCTGGGATCACACACCTGAACTCAGGACCATGTGACTCTAACTAAAGCCTATAGATTTTCTATTCTGTTAGGCTGAGTTTAGATTTCGTAAGGCTCCTCTCCCAGGCCACCTCCCAGCCTTCTCTTCTTCCTCTGACCCCACCTGTCTGTCCCAGGCCCTTCCAGCCCCTCTCCCCCATCAACCAGGTGCACCTGTGGCTGAGCTCACTGCAGCGGTGCGGCAGGGGCCCCTGAGCAGTGATAGTGGACATTGAGCCACTTGCCATCCCGACGGTGCCAGACCCGGGTCTCTTCTGACTGGCTGGTACGAGGCCGACCCTGCCCGTCGATGTACTGGGTGAGGCGGATGTAGGCGATGCATGCTGCGTCCTCCCCAATCACGTGGACATGTGGGTTTAGGATGGTGGTATGGATGGGCTTGCTGTTCTTGGACAGGACTGCAGGGCAGGGTGGGGTAGGTAAGAGGACATCAGGCCTGGGCACCTGCATTTTACTCCCAGCCTGTACTTCCAAGCCTTACCATCGCCCCAGCACCAAGTCCTCCCAATACCCTCCAGAGGCCGAGATACCACATTACATTAGTCTCCCTTATCCAAAAGGAACAGAAAGTGGTTAACAATGATAGTAGCAGCTGCTCTTTTAATCAGGCATTGTGCCGGGGGTTTTACATGCCCAAGCTGTATTTCTTGGTGGATAATATTCTCTTCATTATAAGATAAGGAAATAGGTTCAAGGAATAATTTGCTCAAATCATACACCTGAACTCAGGACCATGTGACTCTAAAGTCTATAGATTTTCTATTCTGTTAGGCTGAGTTTAGATTTCATAAGGCTTGGCTTGCCCCTAGCTAGGGTTGCAAAGCAAAATCATGAACTTAAACCATTCAAAATTGATTTGTAATTTTTTTTTAAAGGCACCAAAGCTGAAACAGAATCACTAAAGCACCAAGCTCAGGATATTTCCAGGTTCTCTGGGGAAAAGGCAAAAGAAGGTGGATTGCCATTATTAGCATATGCTGTGAAAACTGTTGCTTTTATTGAGATTCACATTTTAGTTCAATTCAAATGTCAGACAGGGGCTACATGCCACCTTCCTAGAACTAATATAAACTCTGGAATTGCTTCTGGCTAATAGAATTACTTAGATAGCTGGGAGCTTACATAGGCAGCTGAGATGTGATAAGGGTGGGAGTCAGCAGAGAAGTTAGTGACTAACTACAACTCAGGGCAGGATAGGGAAGGCCCCCCATAAAGTGGGGAAAAGATAAAAATAAGGAGGGGGAGGGTCTCACAGAGTAGAGAGGAAGATGGGAGGGCGTGATGATTCAGCTTCTTATCCCCTTATCTTCCACGAACTGTCCAGAATGCACACCCTCCCCGCCATACAAGACACCTGCCTTCCTCCATAGTCAGGAAGATTCTAGCCACAACTTCTGATCTCACAAATCACCAACAGTGCCCTGGTTTGCACATTCTTATCCTGATTTTAATTTCCTCTACTGTGAAACCTGCAGACACAGAGCTTAGTTCTTACATGCTGAGATCATCTCAAGCTAATCTCAAAGGGTTTCCAATCCTTCTGGGAAAGAGGTGAGGCTTAAAGAAATACGTGAACTTGATTGTGGTGACTGGCATTGCCACGAAGCAGCTGCAGAATGAATGGGCACTTGGGGATCAGAAGCAGGGCCC